GGGTGGCAGGTGTATTTTTAAGGGTCATAACAATTTTTTTTATTTTTCTGATAGTAAAAAGCCATATCCCCCTCATAAGAAAAAAGAACCTGAATAAAAACCCTCTTAGCGTAAATTTCTATTACAGGGGCGGATCTAGGGGGGGGGGGGAGGGGGGGCGCCCCCCCCCCCCCCCCCCGAGATGACCTGCGGTTTTCTAATACAACTGGTATTTTGCACACAAAAAAAACTATGTGGTTTATTGGTGTTGAAGTAGAACAAGAGACGAGTGCACCCCCTCCTAAAAAAAACCCTGGATCCGCCCCTGTATTAACCAGCCCAAAATACAATAACAGTATTTTGCCAGACTACACGCGGCCGGTTTTTAGTATATTTTCACCGTCAAGATCCCCTTGATTGGTAATGTCGTTCTAAGTTTGGATGCGAGGAGAAACCTACATCGTTACTTTAAACGAGGCGGTGTCAAAAGCAGTTTTCTTTTGCTACCGTTTACAGTGTGTTTTACTTTCAAGTATTGATTGAAGCTGTGGAGAATCTATTGGTTATTTAAAGCTATGATGTAGAATATACGAAATAAAATCATATGTGAACTGAGAATAAGGATATGAAAGTGGATATGATTCTTGCATTTAGATGAACAACCTTGGCTGTTAAAAAAGAACTTATCAGCTGCGTCTAATCGGTCGCCTCCAGTCTTGTGGAAAAAAAACACTACGAGCAATTGCTCTTTTTTCTTTGTCCGTCGAGCGAATCGCGCGAGACACGAAAATAATCACGCGCGCGTGCACTCCCCTCACTTAGGTAGGTGAGGTAACCCGTTTAGGTGGGGGTAACCCGCCTGTCCGTATAATGTCTCACATGGTCACCCCACCTGTCATGTAAACGCGATCAATTAATATGAAAGATTGTACGGACAGGTGGGTTACCCCACCAAAGCAGGTTTCCTCACCTATTTGGGGTCCCCCACCTCCATGTAAACAGGCCCTAAATCTGTAGAAAAGGAGACACTGTTTGTAGTCTAGTGGAAAAAAGGATCGTGATGAAATGTGAGCTTCTCCATCGCGCAACTGGCTAGCTCAAGACCCAACCCAAGCCTGGGAACAATAAAGAATTACAGCATCCAAAAACGACAATAACATTAGACGAGGTTTATTGTGTGAAAATAAAAGACCCATTTCAAAATAAAGCTCTATGTACAGATGTAAAGGTTAACGTCATGTAAAGTAATATCAAAGAGGAAGAGTTTCATCCGATACCCTTAAAAATGAGTTGTTAAAACGAGGAGTTCTTTAATCCAGGTTGGATAACTTGGATATAAGATGAACACTCTGAGTTTTCGACACTACTTCTCAAAATGATCGATAATTCTAACAGAAATATAAAGTAAAAGTTGGTACAAATTTATGGCAATTCCCGGGTGCCTCTGCCTTATCTTCATGAGCTACTAACAGGGCCCCAACTGTTCAAGAAAGCTATCCAAACGCAATTGGTTTCCCTAATGCTTATCTGCTGGATAGTAATTATTCGATGGATAGCCCTATACAGTAATTCCTCTCTTTACGGACACCCACTTACTAGTGACACCTCATTATTACAGTTTGCTTTGTCCCCCTTACATTTTCTCTACAAATGCAACCCATCTAACATGGACACCCCATTAATATGGACACTTTCTATGCCCCCTTACTTTCTATATAAGGGGTTTGACTGGGGTCAGGTACATGTAGCAGCTGCTCGGAAGAGAAGTCACCAATGGTGTGTTTCCCTGACCCCAAAAAATACTAAAACAAGTGGAAGAATGACCTGTCATTGTTTCCTTGTGTAGCACTTTGAAAAGCAAACCTACAAGCAATGATCACATTGAGATATTTTATTTTGTTAAATTGGATTTGAATTGCAGTTCAATCCATTGTTAACATAAGCAACGTTAACTTGAGTATCACATCTGTTTGCAAAATCCATGAGAAACTCATGCATAATTTGATCTCGACAAAATAATAAACTTGGACACTAATTTACAGATACTTAGTTATGGAAATGCCGTGCAGAGCCTCTGAAACTTGTAGCATTGTGATAAATCTGATGAGAGTTAAGTGTTTTAGAAATCTGCTCTAAAAAAACCTTAATCTTTGTCACATAATGTAGGGTGCAAAGAAAGCCAGTGTGAAAGCTTGCACTTTGCGCGAGCTGTAGCTAGAATATTCTAGCTGGAGTAATTTATTTTAACTAGCCAGAAAAATTTTTGATGAGTAGGATTAATAACTAATTAATATTAACAATTATTAATTAATTGCTTTATTAAAATCATTGTAATAATAATATTGCAATAATTTCACTTCATCACATCAGCTTGGAAACCAGCTTTCGATTCACATGAATTTAATATGAATTTAACCAATTTGTCACACAGTATGTCTGGTTTTTTTTTAATTCCCCTAAAAAAACTTGACTTGCATATTGGGCAAGTTAAGAACAGAATTCACTTCCCCAGTCGCATAAATCCACTAGCCTCAGGCTATCAGAAACAACTTTCTTTGCAAACAGACAAAGTGTGACCCTCCCGGAAATCATGCATCATTTCCTAATATTTTTTACAATACACACTACCAGAAGACCTGTATCTTGTACAAGGGCTTTCACAGTCTTGTATTCATGGCCTGAGCACTCCTTTCTGTATGAAAATAGTCTCCTCCAGGACTGGAATACACAAATTATAAAAATAAAAAGGCTGGCCATTCACCACTTTAGTAGCAAAAAAGGAAACTGAGCTGAGTTAGCTTTCACAAGGATTTCTTGAATCGTTACTGGGGATGCGCCGGTCAGCTTTTGGCTGATAAAGTTAACTCGAGCCGGTTTCCTTCTCATCTCTAAAGTGGCAATAATTGTTTAATGCAGATGTTGTACTTAATTTTTTATATCAGGTAATTTTTTTCTTTTTCTTTTCTTTTAACTTCATGAGCATACATTACCATACCCAAAAACAAAAGAAAAACAAAAATTCCCTGAGATTGAAAATTAACTACAATACAGACATCTCCTTACACATGTAAAAACAGTCTATTGGTTGTAAAACATTCTTTTTACATGTTTTTGCCCAACCGTAACATTGTCCATAATACTACACACTGGTACGTACATTTTTCATTATTACTGTTTCCAGTTCTATAGAAAGTTCATTAAAATTAAAAAGCAGGGACATCTCGTGATTAAAAATTATTCCAAAGCCATTTGATGAGCAGAGAAACATATAACAAGCTGCCAACTTGCGGCTTCTTGATAAAAGGCTTGCACGAAAGAGCCATGACTGCATGTATGAAATCCCAACAAGCCTCTATTATTTCATCTTTATGGCATTGCCCTGAGCAATTTTATTAGTTCCACTGTATTTGCAAGCTCACTTTAATACAAGTTCAAGCAGTACTCCCAATGCTTCTATGTACATTCACGTATGCTTTCCATGTTTGTATTGTTCATTGGATCCAATGTCTGCAGTACCATGACTAACAAACACTGTGTCGAAAGCTTTTCATCATATCCGCAAGTGATGAAGAATTAGTTGTACTGAGTATGAAGGCATGATTCAGGAGTTCAAATGCTGAAGCTCTCTGCGCTGGATCACGTACAAGGGTTCTTTGTAAAAATGACAACAGTCGAGGAGACATCTGTGAAGAAGAACAAAATGTAGGAATCTCTAAGTGGGAATTTAAATGTTGTCCGCTTTGTCAGAAGGGCAATTTTTTCATTAATTTATTTCTCAAAGCAAAAGCCAATTGAATAAGTTGATCACATAAGTGAACATGCACCAGACAAAATCTGTACCCTTGCAGAGCATGTTCCCATGATAACCAACCCAACAAACTGTTCTCACCCCATTAAGCCCCAATATCCACATACAAATTCTCCATACCGATATTCATAGGTTTCCTTAAAGAGCTAATTGAGAGAATTTGATAAAAGATCCAAGCATTTTGCTTTTGGTGGTCATGTTATTAATTTTATTCTCATAACATTTTCTGTTGACAATGTATTGATATTGTTCTGAGAAAATTCATGTTGGTCAATCCAACTATATTTTCGTACTTCTTCTGTCAAAATCACCAAGCTTTAAGGTCAAAGGATGATCCTGGTGCACTCACCTCTTCATTCGTTCTTGTGATTGGTGGATCCATATCTCGTAGTTTTCTCATGGCCTGTAATGGGGGCTCACTAAAATAAGGTGGCTCTCCATCCATCATTTCAAGGATCATGATTCCAAGAGACCAAATATCAGCCTATCATTTGCAAGAAAACTAAGTTATAAATTTACTGATAATGACTATTGGGATCAATTTAGGTTTCTGGGAAACTGCCCACCAACCCTTCCCCTAAGCTAAGGTCAAAATGATGGCTTAGGGGAAGGGTAGGTGGGCAGTTTCCCAGAAGCCTAAATTGATCCGACCATTGCAGAGTATTGTATTTTAATTTCTTCTATTCAAAAGTAATACAGTAGATGAAAAAAGGTAATTTGTCTACCTATGAAGCACTTTGGTGTTCTTAAGAACGCCTTTAAACATGTCTGTGCATTCCAGATCAAATTGGAAATTGGAAGTGTTGGTTTTTGAGGAGAGGGAAAACTGGAGTAACTGGAGAAAAACCTCTCAAAGCTAGGGAGAGAGCCAACAACTAATTCAACCCACATATAGCCACACCGCATGGTTTCAACCTGGACCACACTGGTAGGAGGCGAGTTCTCTCACCACTGCACCACCCTTGCTACCCAAGAGGTAAAAGATGGCACATCATGTAATACAAAGGCATTAAGAAAGAAAGATGAATGAAAAATACAGAAGGCAACAAGGAATGGAGAAGGACACAGTAACAATTTTGATTATGTTTCAATTTACCTCATCTCACTCATGGTATAAAAAAACTGGGGGCATAGACCCTGGTACAGTTGTGAACCTTTCATGGGTTGTATGGGGAAAGAGATTCACTGTCCTGCAAAGTCTGGCAAAGCTAAAAGAACATTAAACAGTCAGGGCTGAAGAAGGGAGCACAAATTAGGTTGAAAGGTTTCTTCTTACCTCAGTACCATAAGGTTTTCTTGATATAACTTCTGGCGCCATCCAATATGGTGTACCAACAAGTGACTTCCTTCTTGGCATCTCCTCTGTCACTTGAGCACAAAATCCAAAATCTGACAACTTCACCTGGAAGATTGAAACAAAATAAAATTAGCAAATGCTTTGATCTCTACTGTACCATTCTTGACATTTCCAGAACTAACAGAAACATTTTACATCAAAAAAGATGAAAACCAAAACAATTTTTATCCAGAAGTAGGGGATGCAGAGAAAGACCAGATTTTCCTCTTCATTGTTTTGCTGTGTGCATGTAGCTAGACCATTCCATGAAATCACTCTCATTTCAGCTTGTTTTAACACTCTTTGCCACCCTGCACAAATCAGGAATCAAAATAATTGTCTTTCAGAGTAAGGATCATTTTGCCAATATGGGTGGCTAAGAGGTGATGAAAGTGGCTAAATAGGATTAAACCTAAGTGTAAATTAGCTATTAATTAAAGAAAAAGTAAAAATGTTCTACATGACGATAATGATAATGATGATGATGATGAAGACGATGATGATGAGAAGAACAGAAAATCTCCCATGTTGATCATTAATCTTGTATATTGCTCATGTAATACTTCAGTGTTTACATTACCTGCCCAGTAGTGGTAAGAAGAATACTGTCGCTCTTTATATCTCTGTGGATTACTCCCTGGGGATGAAGGAATGCTAGGGCTTTCAGAACTGCGCGACATACACAGGAAACCTGCTCCTCTGTCAGACTGTAAAAACAAACAAGACAACTTGTCAGTTAACTTTTGCACAGCAGTCATCTTGCTATAACACTGAGACACCCTTTTACTTAGCCAGGCTTTCAAATTGTGGAAAAATCCCCGTTGATCAGGGATTTTACAGTGTTTTGGCCATTCCATATTTTGCAGAATGATGGAATCACCAAATCATGGACATTCCTGATCGAATGAAATGGTCCAAGGTAAATCACAGAAAGTGAGAGAGTTTCTACTTTTACTTCCTCATCTCAGACTTTTGGAATGATCGAGTAGCAATTACTGTTGACTTAAATGAGCAAAAATTCAATTTTTTCTGTTAGGGAGGTCACCTATATTTTAAGTTCCACAACAATCTGCTAACCAACTCTCTTGAAAGAGAACATCTTGCCATGTTACCAGGACATTGAAATCAAAGTGGCGATACTAAAATCAGGGCTGTTATTAAGAGGTGGGGGCTGGGGATTTCTTCTAGCTAGTATGAACGTGGCCCCCAGCTATTTTCATAGGAAAATAGAAGAAAAATAGAACCAAAAGAAATCCCTACCTGTTTAATTACCTGCCTATTTGTTGTATTAACCCAGCAACTTGAAATCTTAGTGACAACCCTGATAATGTCAGTGTAGCCAAGTAAATGAGTTGGCCTTATAGCAGGTTCTAGCCTGCGTGGCAGGCACAACGAAGGGGATGGAAAGAACAGTGCAATTACCCTCTTTCCTCACCCCCCTTCCTTTTCCCTTCCCCTCCCCTCCCCTGACAAGACACCTGCCACATTTACTAAGTAGGGTCCCAACCTCACCCTAGAAGTCAAACTGTAAAAAAAGATCTCTCACCTTGTGTGGGTGATTATATCTGTTAATGATCCTCCTTCAAGAAATTCCATGACAACCCAAAGTTCATCTCCAACGAGATAACTTCCATACATTTCTACTATGTTGGGATGAGGGTAATCTCTCATTATAACCACCTAAAAAATCCCAAATGATGACATTCTAGTACACAATAAATAGATTGATTCACCAACAAACACCAGCTTAAAAATTAAGAAGCTATCACAAAATCTAAAGCCATTTTCTTTATAAACTATTCAAAGTAAAGATGGTTAGTAACAAAGATATGTTTACTTATGAAATAACAATTTATGACAATCATTGATGAGATATGCACACATTCAAGCCTTTTTGGCACAAAATTGGAAAAAAGATCATGTTTATGTTGTGGAATGAAGTGAAAATTAAAAATATTGAATTGTAAAAATAAGGGATACTCAGTTACAAGTTTCAAACAATTAAGATATCCTTTAGATTCCAAAGTGTGATAAGTCATTGTTGTCAATCTAAACAAGTTTTTCTGTTGTTAGAAAAAACTTCCGAGAATCACTTTGATTTTATTGCGATCAAATGTAATTTGAGACATAAAGAATAAAACTTTTTAAAACAGTTTCTATCTAACGTGCTGAAAGCACGCTGACAGACCTCAAGAATGTCAAAACAACGTCAAAATATCAACGTCATTGTCCGTCTCGATATTAACCCCTTACCTCATTGAACAAAAGTTCCCTCCTTTGCTGTTTCTTCAAATCCATTTTCTTTACTGCAACTTGTTTGCCTGTTTTTCTGTCTCGAGCTAGACAAACGACTCCAGTCGAACCTTCACCAATTTTAATAAAATTGTCCAGATTGTCTGGGGGCTCAGTCGACGTGACAACTAATTCTAGAGCTTTGCGAAATTGTTGGTGAGTGACAGGCGAATCGGAGTACATGAGTTTTGTCTTCGAGGAACTGCGAAGATCGTCTCCTCCGTTCTCTGCATTTTCTCCAGAATCCGTACTCGCCGATCCATAGTCCGAGCTAGCAGAAGTTTCTCTCTGTATAACAGGTATCTTTTGTTGATGATCATAGCTTCTATTGGAGTACTGGCGTTCGTAACCTTGAGAGAATCTTCGCTGGTAATCCACTTTAGGAACTTTTCCGTTAGCTGTCGCCGAATCGACTTCTTCGGCAATTTCTGAATTTGTCCTTTCAATCTTTCTAGGTCTAGAGCCAGGATTAACTCTAAAGGAATTTCGAAGAGAATTGGATCTTGAGACGGAAATGACTTTACTACCAGATCCTTTTTCACTAAGCAAATTCCACTGGGATTTTCGTAGCGGCGAGACTTGAGTAATAATTTCTGGGTCCACGATGGGTTTGGGTCTCTTTGGATTGTCTCGTTTTATTCCAAGTAAAGCTTCCCACTGAGGAGGAAGACCATGAAATATCCCTGTTTCCTTGTCATAACCAGTGTGAAATCGGTGCTCGAAGTTTTGTGGCCCTGAGATGTCGATTCTTCGGCGTTTCTTGTAAAACAAACGCTTAAACATTTTCAAATCAGCTTACCTCGCATCAAGTCAACAACACGTATAAAGCTCGGGGCTGAAGTTGCAAATAAGCAACGCTTAAATCTGGATAGTGGTTTTTAAAGAAAAATAAAACGACGTACTGATGCCCTCTACGGTTCGTCTACAAACCGCCATAACGACCCACACTAATGTTATCTTTTTCAGTGGTGTCCGCTAAGTTCGTAATCCGAACATTTCCGACAAAATCGACGAAGTGTCACGACCTGTAATCGAATCCGCGATCTTTTCATCCAGCTGTTTACCGCCAAAAAGTAGCCATGTGACCTCGCGTTGTACAACAACTTTCTCGAATAGCTCTGTCCTTTACGATTTGCGACGCAAATGTTCTTAATTTTAAGTGGATTTTGACATGGAAATTGGTAACGAAATCAGCCAGAAGATAAGGGTAAGTGTGCTTAACCAATTAAGACTTAAGGTCATTGGAATTGTGGATTATTTTGACCACAAATAAGTTTTAATTCTTCACTATGGTCTGCTGGCATTTAATTATTGTGTGCTAGAAATGTGTCACTTGTCAAATAAAACAGAAAAATCCTCAGCTGTTTGTGTTTAGCGCTTCTCATAACAACACATGTCAAAGGAAATGACTGTTTTCTGTTGTGAAGCAAGTGCATCGATAAATTTGTAGGTACTTGTATGAAAAAAAGCGACTAAATTGAATCGACTTTCTGACCTGCAGATTACAGACTGACTTTGATTTTAAATAATTTGTCAACAGTATGAATACACAATGACTTGTCTTTTACTGGATGTTTGACAGAACATAAGAACCTATCACAATGACATGGTCTTTTTAGAAACACAAGGTTTCTTATCAACCTGACTTCTTGTCGTTGTCTCATGTTGTAAACAACTGGTTTTCTTTCACAACTTGTTACATATAAATTTGCCGAGAGCAAGTTTACTACTAGCCTGAATTTCAGCTTTCTCTGTGGGACACAAACTATGTCTCTCTGAGGAGTTTGCGACTCGGAGAGACGGCTTAAATTCAAGTTCTGTTGACTACATTTTTTCAACACTTTCACTTCAGTTTGGACAAGAGTGCTGAGACTTATGAAAACTGTTTGAAGTAATTTCGTAGTATAAAATTTGATGTTTTTGACCATTGTTATTCAAGGTTCAATCAGTTAACCTAGTCATTGTGACAAAATTACCTCAAATTTTTTTGTAACCAGAAAGCAGTAAATTGTATTTCTGTTTGAAAGTGAAATTAGTCAGGCCCCAGTTATTCAAACATTGGATAGCACACTTCAGTGGATAAATCACTATCCAGTGGATAGGTATGAGAAAAACCAATTATTGCATTATCCACCGGATAGAGATTTATCCACTGGATAGCATTATTAGCCTTTCAAACAACTTTACCCAGGTCTTGAATACCAAAAACACATGTAAAGTAACAATTTTTTTTTACTTAACAGGGTGCTATCAAGACAAAGCTAAGAGAGCTAGGATCATACGTTGGTAAGCAGTTCTTATAATGGAAAAGAAGGCCCAGTTAAGTTGGGTGATTGACAGTTTGATATATTGGGTAATTTGTAACATACATTGAATCCTATAGATCATATTACAGTCTTTTTTGTTTAGTCAACTGCTGTAATCATGTATTAAAAACTGAACTTTTGAGACATTCAAGCAATGGTTTTCTTACGATCATACGTGATCTTGCACGGTGGTTGCTTTGGGGAAACAGAAAACAAAAAAAATATGTAAAATTTTTGGTTTAAAAAGTGGTCATGGTTGTTGAAGAAATTTCAGAATTGGTCGCAACAGGAGTAGACTGTATGTCTTTTACTGACGTAAGAGCCATTAACTAACCAGCATACTTTTTAGTCATAGTATAACCTCTCAATATCTTGTGTCATCATCATCATCATCTGCCATCAGTTAATGCGCGTAAGACTGTTTTACGGTTTCGGATAAGTTTCCTCCTTGGCTCTCTGTATCTGTATGTTTACTGGACTTCTACTCAATACTTATAAAATCCTCTAAGGGCTTTCTTTGACTACTGCTGTTTCATTCACTGTTCCTTATGGTCTACTGAACTGTATTATTTTAATAAAGATGATGAACTTCCTGACTATATCATGGTTATGCTGGCCAACAAAAGAAGCAAAGAACAGATGACAGAGGACCTGGTTTTATTTCTGGGTACAAACACATCATTATTCACTGAATGGTGAGTAAATTCTCTTTTCAACTGTTTCACTTACAAGAATGGCCATGATGTAATTGGAGTCTAAATTTATTTTATTTATTTATTTTTTACAAAAAAGAGAAACATAAGTTTTAGTAGTAGTATAGTACATACGTACAAAGTGTGTGATCTGAGAAACATGTATGTCTCTTGGAAAATGCACTTTTTAAAATTTAATTCAGTCAGATTTGCCTCCAATACAATAAAGCACTGATATTGTGATGAAGATTTTCTAGTTTCATATTTTTTTTAAAAAGCAGCATTGCTGTTTTGATAGATACAAGAGTAAGTAAATAACAAAATGTTGCTCAAATTTATTTTGATCTTTAGGCTTGTAAATATTATACAGAAGCTTCAAGATGTCACAAGTTTACAAGGTAACCAAATTCAGTATTTATGAAACCATTTCAATAGTACAAATCGGCCACTCTTCTACTATGCAGCTTCTCTGACAAAAACTGAGACATAATATTTGACTAAACAGTGAGTGGTTGATTGAAATTAAATATTGTTTTGTGATAACTTGCGAAGCAATTTTACCAGTTCACTGTGTCTGTGTACCAAGGAACTTTACTCCTTGTGGAACATACATCAACAGCTCCACTTTTTTCAGTTTTTTAATTTTGTAGGTTCTTGTACAAACTATTCAAGCTGTGCCATTCCGGAAAATGATTATAATTATTCTATTTCATTTTAGAAAATACAGAAGAGTCAAATTTATTGGGCGAAGGAAACATTTCTCAAACAGTAAAAACAGATTTAGTCAAAGGCAAGGAAAGGAAAGATGCTACATTAAAACCATCGCTAAAAGAGAGAAGACGAAGCCCTAACAGAACTGATGCAAGGGAACATTTAAAAAGCAAGCATGAAAAAGTAGAAAGTATGTACTTACATGTATTTACATGTAATTGAATTGTGACCCAAAAACATCAATTTTCTTGTCACTGCAAGATATTATCTTCCAACAGTAAAGAGTGGAAATAGCAGCTGTGATTTTTAAAAAGTATGTCTAGGATTTGAATCACCATTGGACAATTACTTGTTTGTAATTTTTTCCTTTTAAATACAGTCAATTCTCTCCTTCTAAGGCAGACACCTTTAGGATGGTCACTAACCATTAAACCCTAATGTCAGAAAACAAATTCTCCAAACTGATGTCCATGCAATTCCTAAAACATCAGTTGAGAGAATTAATTTTGTAAAAAGATCAAAGCATTTTCCTTTTGGTGATCATTTCATGAATTCTCATAACCTTTTCTCTTGATTATGTATTGATTTTGTTAGGAGAAAATTAGTAGTGGTCACTATTGGTGCTTAAAGGGTTAAGTGAGTAAAATGTACAATGCAGTGAGTAAAGAGAGGCACTGGCCATTACTGGGTGTCCGTTAAGTGACAGTTGACTGTAACATTAGTTTTTGATCCCTGTGAGTTTGTGTGTTATTCATTTCATATTTACATGAATATTTTGTCTCTCAGAGCCAAAAATGGGCAATAGTGTTGTAAAAACTGTTGGCTTGTCATCAAGAGGCTCAACAAGAAAGCGAAAGCACTCATCCTCTGATGACGAGGATTCTAGAACATCCAATCTTCCCAGTGTTGTGAAAGTCAAAGAAAGAAAGTAAGTTTCCCATCCCACATTAAATGTTTGCTAATTCATTCCAAGCTTTTCTGAGAGTGAAAAGGTACAAGATTTCTAGGTTGACTAACAGCAAAGAGATTTGAGGTCAATAAAAGCATACTTCTCACCATTGTAATACTATTAAATTCTCCAGACTGATCTATGTACATTCATTTCCCTAAAGAATTACTCGAACTAGAGAAAGACATCACGTTCTTTTACACATTCGGGCTCCCAAATTAGACATTGTGGAATTACCTTGAATGTTTTGAATGTCTAGCACTTTACCCAGTGTTTCATTTGATGTCCAGACATCTTGAAGTTGGTATGAAGAAAAGGCTGCTGTTCCTTGTTTTTTCATCCCACTTCTTTGTGTCTGGATATTTGATGAAATGTTTTTCAAGTGATTGATATACCCCATGTTTGCAAAATTTTGTGTTTCGACATTAATATTAGTATCAGAAATTGATGTCACAGTAATGATTGCATTTGATTTCTCTTCATGGAATTTTTATGAGTTTGAAAAAAATTATGTTTCCTCTTTGTAGACCAACACTTCCACCTTCAAAGCAGGCTTCAGGCAATCTCCTTATGAAAGCCGTTGCAGCTGCACACCACTCCGTTAAAAAACCAGCACTCTCATCCAGTCTGAAATATGACCCTACTTCTCCTCCATCACCAATCAGATCTCACAGCTATGAGGAGAAGCAGCAACAAAAAGAGCTATTGTTACAGCAACATAGAGAGCTACAAAAGCAGTTCTTACAAATGAAGCAAGTAGACGAGAGTGTAGAAGATGAAGAAAATGTTGAAGAAGAAAGCAGCAGAGAAATAGAAGAGGAATCTACAGCAGTGGAAGAGGGAGGCCAGGATTATAATGAGGGAAGTGAGGAACAAGTAGCAGAAGAAGAACATAAACAAGTGGAAACTACACAGGAACCAGAGGCAAGTTTATTCTTGTTGCTTACAGCAAACTCTGTAGACACACAGGAGCAAGTTTTCGTTTTGGAAAACTAACTGCCTGATAGAGATCTGCTGTTCTGAAAAATGATTGGGACCAAATTGTAGGTGACTGTTTTAGGAAGCTATTCATCTCATAGAGTGTCTATTAAGAGAGATGACAGTTCTTTACTCCTTATGACTGTGAGGCGGTGGTTTCAGCAAAGTTTGAGATGTTTACCACTCAGCCGCCACTCTTCCACAACCCATTAACTGTTTTATGGCCCTATATCCACACGCAAATTTTCTTTACTGATTTCCATGAATTAAGAATGAGTTGAAAGAACTTGATAAAAGATCAAAACATTCTCCCTTCCAGGTCATTTTAAAAATTCTCTTAACCTTTTCTTCTGATTATGCAATGATAAGGTTACAAGAAAGTTGATGTTGTTCACTCTAGACTGAGACAAAAAAGGGTTACATTTTTGTACCTTTGCAGGTTGTATGAAACATACCAAAATCTGAAAAGCTGGAAATATTTTATTATCTGTAGTTAAATTTTCCTGGTCTTGGTTTTAGGAGCCAGTTATTGAGCTTCATGTCTCAGAGACAGACACACTGGACTACAGTGCAGAGCCTGTCCAAGGTGATACCAGAATTGTTGCATTTGCGGACAGCCAGGCTGGAGGGGAAGATTCTGAAGAAGAAAGACGAAAAAGAAGGAAAAAACGACGAGCTGTCAAGTCCAAAAAGTATGTAAGACTCCTTTAGCAGGGTCCTCAATAAGTTTTAAAGTAGACAGCTATGATGTAAATGTGGGTGGCTTGGTAGCTGCGTGGTGTAGGCAATTTCAGGCTTTCATTCACTCACTTTAACCTATTTCCTCAAAAAGTAGACGGCTCAAACCTTCAAGTAGCCGGTGTTTTAGCCAGCTGCCGGCACTTAATGAGAACCGTGGCTTTGACATGTTCACAGTTTACCCACTGGCTACAGTGTGTATGTCAACAATCAATACAAATTGACTAACATTTCTGAGTTTGTTTGTAGAGGCTAGGCACAGTCTTAGGCAACGATGTTTTCAAGGAATAAAATTTCTAACCAGTGTTAACTGTGTTTGCATTTTTAAAACAAAATTATGGTCAGATGTCAGTCATGCAATTCTGTCTTAAGAGTTCGTAGAGGAAACGCTATGGTCATTCAAAATAAACCCTTGCAGCAGTACTTTGCATGTTGCAAGGTTTTTATTTTTTGAGATTTTATAATAAAAAGTGTTGATTTTTTGTTGAAGTTCAACTTAGTGTGAATAAATAAAATTTTGCATGTTTTTTCATAGGGAAAAACCATCAAGTCCTAAGTTTATTGTAACACTAGATGGTGCCAATAGTGACTTGGAAGATAAATATGATGACCAGGTGAAAAAGGAAAAGCAAAAGAAGAAGAGATCAAAAAAGAAGACTGAAGTTGATGATTTTGAGGAGATAGACACATCTGATGTGACAGAACAAGTTAAATCACAGGCAGAGACAACTGTCCCTGAAAAACCATTCATAAAACAGATTACTTTTGATCTTGATGCTGGAGATGATGGTAAGTCAAAATAAATAAGAGGGTTTATTATGGACCTAATTCTTTCACTCCTTTGGGCGTCAAAATCAAGATAAAAATAAAAGCAAAAAAATCAAAAGTTCTCATTGTAAATTTAAAGGAAAAACAGAAACAAAATGGCACTGTACAAACGTACTGCATTCCCCCTCCTTTAGAATTTATTCTCTCCAACCTCAGTCACTAGAGCTTCATGTATGTAACCTGTCTTCAGAAATGATTAGTAGATTGGCCTTTCACAAAAGTGTGATTGCAGTAATTTATTTTTTCTATTTTTTAAGATGAGGGTGATGAGGATACTACTTTAAACAAAAACAAACAAGCAGAGAAGTGCAAGTTTTGGCCAGAGTGCAAAAATGGAGAGAGCTGTCCTTTTTATCATCCAACAGTAACATGCAGGTGATTTATAAACAGATTTCAGTGTTCTAGCTGCAGTTAGAAGAAAAATACAGCGGTTTGTAGGTAACTGTAGCATCAAAGAAGAAAGAGATACTATAGTCTCTCTTATTGCCTGTGACTTGTTTTCCTATCTCTGTCTTTTTAATTATTAGAGTAGCTATTGCTAAAGATCAAACTCATGACAATCAGAGGAAAGCTACAGACTGTAAATGTTTTGACAGATCTGATTAAATTATTTAGATAGTCATGTCAGTGTGCAGTGGTCGATCTGTCTAGAGTGAAGTCAAATGAATATTTTTTTCAGATTTTTTAGTGATCTGACAATAGAACATTGATGAGACAAGGTTCTTCCATGTAAAGTGAAGATTCCTTGGCATCATTTTTTGGTTTAGTTTGCCTTCTTCTGCACTCTGTTCACTCACTAGAGTTCAAATAAAGGTTACATAATTATTTTGTCTCTTTTTTTTTCAGATCATTTCCCAACTGTAGATTCGGGGACAGCTGTAGATTTATTCATCCACCATGTAAATTTAATGGAAGGTAAAGGATCTTTCCCCATTTGAGGGAACCTAACCTGTTAAATTATCAGTCCTTATTTATTTATTTGACAAAGAAGACTTCAGTAAAAGCTGTATCATTTACCTCATAGTTCTATGGGTTATATTAAAAATTACTCCACTGGTTGACTGAGGTAGGGAAGTATCTAGTCAACAACTAGCATCCAGTGTCAGCCGTGTCAAATACGTTTTAACTGTAATGCTATTGGATGAGTCTGAGTATAGTATGAGTGTTATCCGCCTGTTATCAACCTTGGCTTTTTCAGCCATGGTAGAAAACACGTCCAAGACCTTCATAATTCATAATAATTATCTTCGTTTATTTTTCCACCCAAAAACAAATTACATATGTACTGTTGATCTTGCTCGATCTTATATACATATTAATTTTTGTATTTTCATTGTTTTCTGTATATCTTGCATTTATAGGTGTACTAATTCAGTTTGTCCATATACACACAAGTTAAAAAGTAAACAACAGACATCTCCTATACCAGCTCCTGTCACAGGTATTTGAATGAAAGTTGGCTGATATCAGCCCAGTTTACACAAGTAGGAAGATCAAAGATGAAATTAAGGTCAAGGAAGACAAGCCGCCTCTTGTGAGTCAACAATGCGTGGTGTATTCTTTCCAGTGTAGCCTGTGTGATGCAAGCTATGTCGGCTACACGTGCCGACACCTACACCAACGAATTGAAGAACACAAAGGATCGGCAATCGGAAACCACCTCAGAGAGCAGCATGATATGGAGCCTGAAGACATTGCACAAAGTTTTAGAATCTTAAGAAAGTGTCAGAACAAATTTGACTGTCTTATTTTTGAAATGTTTTTTATCCAAGAACTGAAACCGACGCTTAACAAACAGTGCGATTCAATTTGCGCCAAATTATTTGTTTAGAGTAGTTCTTGTTAACATTGTTTTATTTCCATTGACACCACATTTTTATCTATTATAACTTGTTTTTAACTTATTTATGCTAATTTAGAGAACTTTTATACACTTGAAAATGACCTCGGAGAGGTCGAAACGTCATGATTTTTTATCGCTAATATTTATCTCAAAAACAAGCATTGACTTATTTCTTAATGTTTTTCTTATTGCTGTTGATGAAAATCAAAATTTTTTATTCCTTTACTCTCTTTCAATCCCACTAGGTTTCATGTTTCCATCACCAAGTGTCCTTGTGCCACCATCACCCAGTACCCAGCCCATTCCTTGCAAGTTCTATCCATCCTGTACAAAAGCTGACTGTCCCTTTTATCATCCACAACCTAAGGTACAGTAGTAATTACTATAGATTTACCAGTGATTGGTAAATCTACTAACAGTACACGTAATCAAATTTATTAAGTGAAGTACACTCAGTAATACAGGGGCTTGTCTGTTACTTAATTTGCAATGATTTTTTGATGTCCATCCATTATGTTAGATGAATTTAATACCACCACTCATTAATATGACAAAACCGGTCAAAACATCCATGGTTTAAAAGACCAATACATTTTTATATTGAAGGATGCAATGATTGGGGCATTTCATTTCAGTATTTCCTTAGAGCCAGCACCAGGAACATACTATGAACATTTTTGTGATTTATAATTTTAGGTTTTGGTAAGAAATGCTGCAATTTGTGCTGAAAATTTTCAAAGTTATTTCATGATTGTTTCACTTTAATAAAAACAATGATAGTGGACTTACGATACTTAATAGTGCCTGTCAGTTAACTTAGCTTTTCACATAAATAGACATTTTCAAAATAACAGAAAATGGTAAGAGATTTTTAACCTCTGGATATGTAAAAAACAGCATTACTTACTTAGAGATAATTTCAATGAAAAGAAAGAAAAATTTCCAGACTGGACATTCTTAAGAAAAGATAAATTGCGCTATTATTTAATATTGCACAAAACAGAACGTTTTCACAACTATTAATATGCAAAATAACCAAAAGTGGACAATTTTTAGATTAATTTTTCATGGTGCAAAAGTGCATTTTCTTGGTTATACTTGTTCACCTGGAGATTGGGATTGTGGGCTCCTCTCATCGCCCGCAGTTAAAATCACAACAGCGTTGATTAAGTACTTGTACCTTTTTATCTCTCGGCAGCCTTGTCGGTTTGGACTTAGCTGCACCAGACCAAACTGTTTGTTTACTCATCCAGCAAAACCGTCCTCACTAAAATGGGTTTCTCCTGCTCTACACGTAAGGTAGCGTATCCTATTCCTTTTGATCTGTTGCTTAAATGTTCATTTGAAACAGTATGTGTACCTTTAAATAGAATTATATTATTTTATGCCCCTACCACTACCACCATCAGTGACCAAAAAAATAGGGGGCGTGCCGTCTTGGTCAGTACAGCTGGATAGCCCAGGGACTGCCCTAACAGTGGGTGGGTGGATCAGGCCTGGGGTCAAAACTAGTGGGGTAGTGAGGGGGCTGTTTTGACACAACCCCTTCAGAAAGCAGCAGTGTTCAGTACAGGCTTTGACTGGCAGGTAACTTGTTCTTAATTTGCCCTAGCCAGCTGAATCAGGCCTCTGCTGAGAATGATTATCACGATAATTGCAGAGCTCAGTGGGAGGCACAGACAGTCACCCATTGTCCTGGGTGGGGAGGGACAAAATCTTGGTACCAAGGATGCTCTTAGCAGAGGACTTTTAGACACTCACTGAAGCCATGTTTTCATAAATTCAGTCAGATATGTTTTGTGGTACACACTGATTATTAATAAGTAGTTCAGTAAAGAAAGTGTTTATGCGACACTATCATTATTTTTCATGATCATTGCCCTTAATAAAATACATAACTTAGACCTGATTGTTGTTTGAGCAAAAGACCTATCCTTTTAAATACGGTAGTAAGAATTTTATCCAAACACTAAATGATAAAAAACAAAATTAAGATTAAAGCTCTTCCCCTTTAAAGTTCCCTTCCACGAAAGCCAAACAAACTAATATTATTATTATTGCAGTGAAAGAAGATTTGCTTTAGCTGAACAGCAAGTGACATCGATGCCAGTTTCATAGCACATATTGAATTCAGCCCTACCAGGATAATATGTTTTACAAATATGATCTTAGCCAGACCTTTGTTAATGTTTTGTTTGTAAAGTTATGACCTTGAGTAAATTTTCTGAGGTGCAAGTTTCTGTCAGTATTATAAATTTTATGGTAGTCAGTTTTGTTCTTGTAACACTAGTATGAGGACTTGGTTTATTTACACTTAATACCACAGCATCAAAAACATACCTAACTGTATATTCTTTTTCTTGAACACTTTAGCAAAATATATTCGTACTCTATCTAGCTTGTACATTGTAATCAAAGTATCCAGAAATGGAACTAATAGAAACAGAGTATAAGTTGCAGAAAAAAGAAATGGTTTTTTAACTGCCATGCCTTCACAATTTCCACTCCATCTCAAAAACTGTTTTTCAGATGAAGGCAAAGAAATTTAAGAAAAACTTACATGCCTGCTCATTAGTGATTGTTATAACTCTTTGCCATTTTTTGTTGCATCACCCATACAATTACCGACGTCTCCTAACAGGATTTTTTGGATCAAACAACCTTATGATGATGTAATATATCACGCATGAGACTGGCGACGAAACACTGAGAAGAGAGTTAAAAATATAATAAAAAATGGCATGTAGCAGAGTATTTTTGACAAACTTTGAGGTGTTTCATGTGGTGATGAAACACCGTAAATGCTTGATATTACTTCTCAAACAAAATGATTTTAGAAGGAAAAATTAAGAATGCATAAAAGAACAGTTTTCCATCTTATTGCATTAATATCCTTTGTATTTTGTTGATTAATTATTTAAGACTTTGAGACGTTCTTAAGATGCTAGAATGTCATATGTAAGGGTGGCGACTTGTCACAGAGTACCAAAAGAAACAATAAAGAGCAAAGATTTTCAGAACTATTACTCCTATTTAGTATTTTAATCGATTTTAGTGGAGTCAGACTCAAGGAAAACTTGCTCTGCTCATGCTTTTGGTTAAATTGCTACCCTTTTTACCAATGGACTTTTAGAAAGTCAATGATTTCATGTACAGGAAAAATGTTCCAAAATTTAATTTAAAAACCCGTGAAAATTATGTTTAAGAACTAACTTGGGAGTTCTAAAATTTCTTTTTATACCGAAGACACTGAAATAGCTGCTTCTTAGGAAAATAAGAACAACATGCTACTCTTAACCATTGTACTAACCAACTGAAGAACACAAAATAATATTTATTTTTAAGTGTGTAAATGGCAGAAGAGGCCAGCAGTTATTCAACGTACAGGTATTCTTAAGCTGAAAATTCATAGTGGATTTTACTCTACTGTGAAAGTGTATATCCCAAGTATTTCCACAAAAGAAGAGAAGAACAGAAGAGGCAACTGTTAACCTCAGTACACTGCCTAATTCCGTATATAGCTTTACATATCACCTGTTTAACAATTTTGTTTGTAACACCCCTGGAAATAGACTTATCTTGCAACATTTCCTCTTCAACAAGTGTTAATCAAGGTAGAATCAAGTACTGTTGAACTTTTTTGCATTTTATTTAAACAACTGAGAGTCAAGTAAATGTTGTGAGCTGAGTTCACTCACAGTGGGCTTAATTACAAGACATAATATGTTACATTACAGTAACATCAGCCTTGAGCTAAAAAAAGCTTTCTTTGCATTGATACACAGGCCTTGAGCTTTGATCTAGTGGATTTGATTTTATCGTGAAGGAAATAAAATCTGATCAATTAAGCTAATTTTTTAGTTGTTAATTTTGAGAGGTCATTTAATTTAATTTCCCATATTTGTTCTGGCTTGTCTACACATGGCTCCATGACTGGATATCCTTTATTGGTTGCTGTCACGCAATTGTTTGTAATGACATGAACAAGTTTCTTCTTCTGTAGAAAAAAAGTAAATAGAAAATAAGGTAAAAAACATATTTTAAAACCCTTTAAGCCCTAAGAGTGATCAGCATTAAATTTCTCCTTGTAATATCAATGCTTTGTAAAACAGAGTAGTCATGAGAATTACGGACATGATCACACATGATGAATTTGCTTGATATTTTATCAACTTCTCCCCACTACTTCTGTAGGAAATGAATAGGAGCAACAAATGAGAATTCAAATTTTGATCTTAAGAGTTTAAAGGGTTAAATGTTGTAGGCTTGACAGCTACCCAACACACGTATGCCTTAATAGAGGATTTACTGATATAACCTTCATGAAGCCTCCCGTCATGAACAAAAGTCTGTGAGTGTGGCACTTATTTAAAGCACACACATGCCCGATCACTCCCCTCCCCCCACAGAACATTGGACCCACTTCAGCAGAATAGTTTTCTGAGATTCAGCATTGTATAGGGTGGGGGAGGGGGGACTGCAAGCCACTTGTTAAATGATAGCACTGTTTTATAAAGACATCTCGCCTGCATTGCAAGCGTATTTTTTAGACAAACAAAGCTGCTTGTTTTTTTTTTCATATTGCTGTGGCCACCATCTTTGAGTTTATCACTGAGGAAGATTGGGCAGAGTAGAAATAACAACCCTGGTGTAGGTGAAAAGAAGGACTCCTGCCACACCCTTCCCTGCACCCTTTAAAACACCCCGACCACACTTTTAGAATGCAGTATTGCAATAATACCAGACGTTCTGAAATTAAAGATAATAACAAAATTTGTCCCAAGGACAGCAGTCTATAGATCAAAAGTGTGTGCATGTCATCTCAAGGTTCTATTGTCCCTTACCAAAGTGTACTTAAATTCCTGATTTCCTTTGAGCTCGTGACAGCCATAAAATGCTATTTTTGCTCCACTGTGGCTTTGACTAACATCCAAGCAAGCTTCATCTTGACGAAACTCATCCAGAAATGTATACTGAAAAGCCTGCCAATAAATTGAAATGAAATACAGTGGATGTGACTTCACTTAAACTTGTGTTTAAAGGAGGAGAGGCAAGGGTCATGTAAAAGAACTGAAAAAAGTCTCCATTGTAGAGAAATTGTAGGGGCCTTCCCCAGGAACAAGAAAATTTTAAGGATAAGATGACCTTTAATTTTATTAGATGCCTGTAAAGCAGGTTTTGTCTAAGACTGTTCACAGTCTCCTATTTTGTCGTAAGGTCGTCAGGATCAAGTAGATTTGACACTCATCCAAGATGGCCACTGATAACGCAAAAGAAGCAAAGCACTCAACCTCAACAATCTCACAGGGAAATTAGGGGACTGTGGACAGTCTAGTTTTGTGTGTAATTTACCTGATTTCCCATCATTCCATGGCAATTCATTAGTCCCACTTCTCCTCCAGCTTTCCTTCCCAAAGAATCTAAGCAGAGATTAGTCCCTGGGTTGCGAATCTGAAAAAAGAAATGGCTAAATCAGTACCTTATTCTCACTTAATTTTTTTTTATCATTAATTGGCAAAAAATTGGCTAAAAACCATAAAATTAAATACCTACTCGCAAAACATCACTCATGATTTTTCGCAAAATTTAATACTCGCAAAAGTAAGTGAGAATAAGTTATAAGATTCTGGGAAACTCACAACCTATCCCTCATCTTCCCTTCTTCTAACCTGTTAACCTTTTAAGCCCCAAGATCCACATACAAATTCTCCAGACTTATCTCCATATATTTCTTTTAAGAATTTAGTACGAATTAAGTAACTCTCATAACCTTTACTCTTGATGATCTGCTAATGATGTTAGAAGAAAATTGATGTTGGTCACAAGTTAACTGGGAACTAGAAGGGCCTACGTCTTGAGGGTATTGCTGTTTCAGGTCAATTTATTGTAGAGCGGTTTTCATTTGAGTGTCGAAAAGTAATTGGTTTTGCACTTTCTACACGATGCGATTGGCTTAAAAGATTCGCGCCACCTTCTCATCCAATCAGAAGTAAAACCAAAGCCAATTGTGACGCGCTCGCATGCATTTTCCCGCGCAAACGCAGTCGGTGTACATTAATGAAGCTCAAAACTAACCAAGTTACATAACAGACACAGGATACACTATGGCCAGAGTAATTACTTTGGTTTTGGTTTTACGACACTCAAACGAAAACCACTCTATGCTAAAGTCATTTCTTAGTGCATTTACCCTCACACAAAATGCTCCAGTAGACTTGTTATGAAAGAGATATCAGAACAAAGAGCACTAACCATAATATTTTTTGGTGATTTTTACAGGCATAGTATTAAAAAAAAATTCAAGTTTCAATCCTTGCCATCTGTTCCAAACACAACAGGAAACTGTTTTCAATACCTGAATACAGCCCTACATAACAGAACTGTACTTGAATTATTGATGAGAAAATTTAAGTATTAGCTGTTCATTTTTTTGTATGTGATAGTCTGCCTGACCTTGCAATCAATACACTGGGTCTTATTATTTTTTTAATGTTTTTTAAAAGTCCCAAAAGTGACCAACATCATCTTTCACTTTTTTTAATCAATATTTATCCTGGGGCGTCTGATTTAGCAGAGCTAGTTTAAATGGAGCCCTGACACAACACAAAAACAAAGACATTAAAACATAAAAACTAGACAATTAAGTTTCAAAGGCAACATGTACTGCATAATGATTTATGAACTGATTACCTGAGGTTTACCCTATGTTTGGACTGTTACCAGACTGGACTACTGGATTGTTACAGGTTTGAATCCTCCAAGGACTCAAGATTCTTGTCTCTTTCTTTGTCTTCTTCCTTCTGATATAATTATTACTAAATAATTATTATTTCAGAAGAAAGGAACAACGAAAAAGAAACCACATGTAGTCATCTTTTGCATTAACTATCTACTGTAAAATTTAACAAGACCTTTTACAGTTTGCCTGGCATTGCAATCAATTGACTGAGCCTGTCCCTGTCCCCTGATTCACGTCCCAGGATTGACCAATATCAATTTTCTCCTTACAATTATACCATACAAAATTCAGAGGAAAAGCGAGGAGAATTACTGAAATAATCAATATTAATGAAATGTTAACATAAAGCCCACCCAATGTTTAGGCTGTAACAAGTTCTGGAATGGTGCAGTCTCCTTATTTGTTGGCCATGTAACGTTCTCTTTGTCTCTTTTGTTCACCTCTACTGGTGAAGCAGTATTATGTGAGATGTGATTGAGTTATATCTTAAGTATCTTAACCCTTAGAAGTTACCTCTTTATTAACTATGTAAGTTATATTTCACATAATTTAGTGACATGGTCATGCAAATAAAACTGCTTACAAAATCTTAAATACTGAAAGTTCTCTAACTAATTAAAATTACAGCTCTGGCTAGTAATTTACATAGTTTTGTTCAGTTGTTACTTACTGGACCATTAGCCCTAAGAGGTTCATAAATTGATCTGACGGTGTCATTAGCAACATTTTCCATGTACCACTTGAAACTTTTACACTTGAGTTTTTTGCGTAATGCGATCCGATCACTGATATCCCCTGGGTCTACATTCTTCAGCTCAGGCTTTTTGTCATATAGCCACTCCTTATACTCATCCATCCAAACTTCTGCCACTCGCTTGAAGTTTATGAGGGTAGCATCAGCCTTCGGGTATGAATAGGGGACATGATGCCGATAGACGTGTCCCACACGTGAACAAGGGATATTTTCCAACTGGCCACCACACTGCCATAACTAAGTAACAAATTAAAGATAATCCTCAGACTATCACTAAAGAACATGTCCACATTTTCATTGTAATATAGCTGCCAGGAGAGTTAGCTGTCATACAATTTCATCCTGAATAATGTACTAGCATCACATCTCGGGCAACCTCGTACCCAGGGTCCTCTCCCACTCGGCCCCCTAGAGGACCCTGGGAACGAGGTTGCATCTGGGGTTGGCAGCAATACTCCCAGGGGACTTGGGCTACAGAAACTGACCTCAGCTCTGGCCACATGGGGCTCTGGGCACCTTTACCATTTTACCACAGCAAATAAAAGAACCTCTTGCCCCTACCCTCTATTCCCCCACTCACTTTTTTATTTTTTTCATGAGGAATGCCTCCTTCTTTTCTATCCTGAAAAAGTTTTTTGGAGTGTATCAACAAAGGAATAGTTTCTCCTCCATTGAGCCACTTATCTTTATCTCCATGAACAAACAGAGTTCTTTCATGTGCATTATCTGGCCAAATAAAGAACTAAGATGTTCCCATTCAAGTGCTTTGACAAAGAAAAATTTTTGATGGAAAGATGGTACTTCAATAAGAAAAATATCCCAGTGAGCGTAATTAAGCATTCTTATTTTGGGATTGTAAAGTGATTGACGTGTAAATAAGGAGCAGAATGAACTTACTTTGAAGGAAAGTTCATATTGTTCTCCACCCCAGATAAACATTCCTGGATCATACAGCCCAAGCTCATGGAAAAACTCTCGATTGATAGCAAAAAGTCCTCCTGCCATCACAGGTGATCTGCAAAGAAACAGAAATATATCTGACTGACTGATCTAACGAACTGAGCGTTGGGTTTCATGTAATCCAGAACCAATCAAATACAAGATGCTTTGAAGGTAGAGTTGTTCATTCTGGAATTTCATTGTCAGTATTCCTTAGAAATTGGATGAACCCACCAGCAAACCATAGATTTTGATTGGTTCACACCAAAATTCTTTACTATTGGGGGAGCCACAGTATCAGAGATTGCATTCTAACAACATGGGCAAAACAGGCAGTCAACTAGGTGATGGTTTCCAAAAACATCTTCAAGAGCTTGAGAGAATGAGTAAAATGATGATTCAAAGCCAGTCTCTCGCCATTTCAACCTTCCAAATCGTTCCAGCCAAAACAAGCAATCTGCAGGCTTTTTTTTTGACAGCTACCAAAATCTTGAACAAAAATTTATCTTGCAAAATCAACAAACTTAATCCCCACTGAATATTGTTTTTTTATATATGTTTCCAAGATCCTACCTTTAGCATATTTGTCAAAATATAAAACCTCAAAATAAGCTGTGTGAAACAGGTCCAATAACAGAAATTATTCTTTTCTAAACATACTTGACTTCTTGAGTAGGATCTTTCCTTTTCCTCATATCTTCAGGTCGAACTGGTCTCTCCTTGTAATCAAATCTCCAATTAAAAGTCCCTCTTATGTAAGGATCCATAGGTTTGTATTCAAAAGTGTTATGATCAATAAAGTCTATTGTTGGACAAACTGCAGTCCGACGATCAAGAGCGATACGTTCCAGCAAAGGAGGTAACCAACCCACATTAGCCTCACAATGAGCATCCAGAAAAAGTACAACCTCTCCAACTGAATTAACGGCACCAATTGATCTTGCCTTTATCAGGCCTACCCTTTCATTGGTCCTAACAATCTTGACTATCCCGTTTCCTAATTTCTTTGTATAATCTTCCAGTTTTTCTTTTAGAAATTCTGCAGAAAAAAAGGATAAAAAAGTAGTAATTTTTAACATGTCATTTTAGTGATTGACGTCAAACCCAATCATTGTAGTTAACTCAAGGCTTTTTTCTTATTTATACCATACTGGTAGGTCTAGAACCCTAAAGTTCCAGAAGATACAGGTAGCCAATATAATATTGCATATCAAGAAACTGATAACCACTGCTGCACCATTTAAAAGACAAGGGATGAGTGAGTAGAGCCATTTGATATGGTCAATGTTTTAGGGGTTGGGTGGCTTGGGGTTGATATTAATTATTACTGGGATGTAAACATGCTTATATCTTACAAATCTTTGGTTGGACATTAACCACCCAAATAATAGTTATTACTATGAGAGAAACAACCAACCCCCAAATCATTGACCACGCCACCTGAGTCTACTCCCTACTTTCTTTTCAAACATCGCAGGGGATTCTTTAGCCCTTTAAGCCCTAAGAGTGATCAGCATCAACTTTCTCCTTGTAATATCTTTGTTATGGTCACAAGAATTAAGGGATTGATAACACAAGATGAATTTAATTGATACTGTAACAACTTCTCCCCACTATTTCTATAGGAAATGTATAGAGACAACAAATGAGAATTTATACTTTGATATCAGGGTTTAAAGGGTCAATGGTCCTGACACAAAAGCAGGTCAGAGAAGACTGATAAGAATGTCTAATCAATTGCATACATTACAGCAAAGGCAACACATTCCTCATCTTTATTTCAAGACCGTGAGTGTTGTTCCGCTGAGCACTTTAACCCCTTAAGCCCCCATATCAACACACAAATTCTACAAGACTGATCTCCATACATTTACTTAAGAAGTAGTTGAGAAAAATTTACAAAAGATCTTTGGTGACCATTTTATTAGTTGTCAAACCTTTTTTCCTGCATTAAAATCAATACTGCAAGGAGAAAATTGACGTTGATCACTCTTGAGACTTAAATGGCTGAAGTGTAATATCCAATTTGTTGAGCTAAGCATGCAGTTAGCAGTAATATCTTACTGTAAATATGTAAATTACTGACCTTTATTGCTAAAGTCATCTACCATTACTACTTCCTGCAACATATGTGGAGGCGACCTGTTGATTACGCTGTGTACTGTGCGTAATAATGTTGACCAACCTTCATTATGAAACACAATTACCACACTAGCCTTTGGAAGACTCCAAGGGTATGTTCGTTTCTTGCATCTAAAGGAAATAAAATCATAAAAATAGCATAGTAACAATTCCGTTGTCACTAATCTGTAAATGACAGGTTATTGGTTTAACCCGCTTTAATAATAAGCATGACCAAAATAATCGCAATGTAAAATTTATTTTGAGCTTTTCAGTACTGAAATTTTCATATGAACCTGGGTAGATTTACAAAATTGCAAATTCTCCTAGGTTAAGTAAAAATTAACTTGAAATTAAATTTGACCTACAACACATACACTGTATTGCCCCAGGTACTCCTGGGAATTCTTGGTGGGGGTGTGCCGCCTGTTTCTCCAAGTCCTGAGCCTATTTGAGACCAAAAAATGTCATTTTTCACACCCCTTTTCAGACCTGGCCTCTAAGAAATTATGTCTTTATTACTCAGATTAGAACACCAACCAACAAAAAAGATTTCTTAAGATTTATTCCAAACTGGCATATTTCTCTTCCTGTCTTACTAATTTGGAGTTGAAACAATTAATAAGTTTATACACTCCAGTAGTTCACTTGAAAACCATACCCGATTCCACTCCAAAATGGGCAGGGTCTATACCCGTTTTCAGACCAAAAGGCTGGATAACCAGACCTTTGGGGTGGCAGATACCTATATGGCTTATGTAAGGGAGTACCCCCTGGGCTGTACTACCAGTATTTATTTTAGACTTGACCGAGGGGATGAAGCATTTTCTTAAGAATGCAGTTTATTAGGGTCCAGTGTTTGTTATACAAAGGGATATTAATGACCATACTTGACACCTGCGTATATTCGCAATCATCTTACAGTTAAAATAAATAAATAAATAAATGCTAAAGGGGCTTACTTACAACTTTTCCTTTTAGACCCAGGATTAATCCAGGGTCATGGAATTTAATCAAGAAAATATCTTAAATATGTTACACCAAACATTTTATAAATAATTGATTTCAATAAGAAAACTATAAGTTACACAGAATCAGGTAGCTATCAACTTCCAAGGTAAAATATTTACAAATACAGCACAATCCCAAAAGAGACTTTTTGAAACTGTTTTAATTCTCACAAGAGAAAAATTGAGTAAGTCAATGAGTATTTATGAAAGTGCTTGAAAAATCTCAAAGGGCAGAAAAATATAATAACAAATAAAGCAATTACTATATACTTTCTTTCATAAGGAGAGCTTGAAATTCAACTCATTAATTTTTTAGGAACCTTGACCAAAATACATATGTATTTCAAACAAAGAAAGCGTGATCAAAGACACAAAAACAGAGCATTGATAGTGAGCCATGCATGATATCTATTATACTTACGCATTATGTCTGGTATCTTTGATCGTGCGATCCAAAGAAATTTTATCACTGATGTATTGATTAAAACCATACTCTGCGTAAGCGCGATCTTTGTCTTGCTGATTTTCCGGGGCCGTTTGAACAGGTTCGCCGTTTGATCCTGCTCCGTCAGGCACAATTTTCGTTTTTACAGGAGTCCAGAAGTCTTCAATGTTTATCATTTTCCCGAGTTTGGGATGCGACTTTGCCACGTGTATAGGATCAAGTTGTTGTTTTCCGCAGCCTTCAAAACCGCAGTTTACGAAGAAATAAACAATCGTACAGGCTACCAAAATTCCTAGACATTTACAAGTTCTTTTCAACCTAAATCGCATGATAGAGCAGTAAAATAAGACGCTTTTTCGTAGAGAAAATAAGAGGATGCAGCTGGACCGAGTACGTAGATTGGGTTGGTCTGAACTCTGCTTAAGGCACCTGATGGAAACATATAAATTTTTCCATATTCAGTGCGGTAACAGAAAGTGAAAATGGTTATTCATAAGACTGGAATCACCCACGAATTCAGCATTGTAAACACTTGAAACCAAGGTGACCGATGTTGAAACTGATCGACCAAAGTTGCAGTCATCGAAGTGTAGTCTGTTAGATTACTGACGTCTGCTACAAAAACCGCAAATATAATTTCACGAAAACAGGTTTCCAAGGGAGATGATTATTCCCCTTTAACCAGGCAAACCAGCAGCTACAAACTACTCATAAGTGATGATATTAGAAAACAGCACGCGAAAAGGACGTTTTTCAGTCCACAGGATAAATGATGATCGACGAAGAATCGGAGATTTGTTGTTGAACCAAAGCAGAGTTCTTGTAATCGTATTAAAAATTGTCCTTACAGTACCAAGGTGAGAGTCAATGTCATTCGCCTCCTGCTCTCTTGTAAAAGTACTCTGGCAAAGATATCGACCTTAGATTAGTTAAATTTACGAAATAAATGAGAGCAAATTAAAAAAGAAAGAAATATTTAAAAGCGAACTTTGCACACTCTCAGTAACCAAAAAGCATACCGGCCACTATCGCTTATTTGCGATATTTTTTCCATATAAGCGGCACGAAAAATGTGCGAAAATGTTTCTACGATACCACAGGAACCCCAGGTCCCGAGAATTTCAATAGAAAGGAAACTCCAAGTAGCACTCGTTTCATTTTATTGAAAATTTTGTCAGTATACGATTAGTGCTTATTCTGAGTGTTATAAAAGTGTGATCATTATTTTAAAATCTTTAGTATATACTAAAACAGTGGATAGTGTTTTTCGCGCGCTCTGATTGGCTACTCAATCAGTGAATATCCTGCAACTATTCACTGATTCACCTCCAGTTCCTCCGAGCGAGCGGCGCCAAACTCGCGTTTTAAAGTTGCGAGCAATGTGTAGTGCTTTGTACTCCTGACCTGAGCAATTTTAACATGTTTGCGGATGCAATATTTACAAACTTCCCTCTGGAACGAAACTCAAACCGGAATGATTGTCTTTCCGGTATCATATTTATGCAAACAGCCTCTATAAGTTCTATTGAGGAGTTGAGTTCGATGGCCATTCGACTACCGCAACAGCCCACGTTACGTTAAGAAACAGGTAAGCTTACGTTATGAAAGTATTTAGCTCGATATTAGAAAGCTAATATCATCTATCTTAATATAAAAATTAAGCCAGGGCTAAAAGCGCCAAAAAGCGAAGCTCTCGATGGTATTTATATTTTACTCAAACAAAATATAAAATCGTGTAATGCTAAGCTTAAGCGGCGAAGTAGAACGGTGAAAAAACAATTAGGTCTAATTAGCGAGCAACTTTGCACGTGCAGCACACTTTTTTGTATTCTTTGCCGTTATTTTGCACGACTACAACTGGAAACTTTCAGAAACTTTCTGATTACAACTGGTTACACGTTTTATGGAGGAAATGTCATACTTGTTCTTGTTAACTTTCTTTACTGGCGCTCATTTTCACCTAGGTGGTGCTCTTTTCGTTCTTTTCGAAAACATCGGCGAGCCTATTTTCTACTTCCCCCACCCCTAACCCCTTGCGCTGGCAGTCAGTAAATCCTCCGCGGGTTTTTATTTTTTATCACGTGCGTTCGACGGACCTTAGGTGGCCGCTAGCATTTCTTATTTTCTCACTGCCGCTACAAAATTTTCATGTTGTTCTTTCAACAAAATAAGTTTAAATGTTTCCTTTGTCTATTATTTCTCACTCTAGCTGTCGCTCTTTTTCTCATTGAGCTTCTTTGGCCTGTCGCCTAAAATCTCTTTGTCTTTGTTGTTTTCTTTCGCTGTATTCCAAATTTGTAGACATGAAAATTAGTCTAAGCCTAATATGGATGGTCGGTCAGGTGGGCGTACAGTCACTTGACTCCCAAAATTTCTCAGATGCATAGGTTACCAAATTTTCTTACCCATGGTGCTCCGCTAAAATCTATCCCAGGACAAAAGCCAGAAGAGTGTGCTGTTCCGACGTGTGATGTTTTTGTTCTCCTGTGAGTAGTGACTGTTTCATGATCAATGTGTTCGGATCTTGTGTAATTTGTGCACCCCTCAATGGACACTATTGGCCAATACTCAATCGATATGTTGGCTGACTCTTGGTCACCATATCAGTAGACCGACTCTGGGTCAACATGTCGGCTGATGTGTCAAGTAATACATGCATGATACGTGAGAAAATTAGTTGAAAGCATGAGTCAAAGCATGAATCCAAGTGAATGTTCGCTTTCTTGTGGTACTCCTCTGATCACCCATACATGTGCTTTATTGGGCAAATACAGTACTTACTGTTTACATGTATCTGCACACTATTTAAGTACTACACGTTATTAACCTTACAGCTGTACACACTTTGTTATTTTCTACATGTATGTCTTATAATAGACAACAACTTAAAGTTAGCTTGAACCATTATAATGATTTTGTACAGGTGAAAAGATATTATTTTACCTTATAATTATTGCCAGTAATAAATATTATATTTAAGTAAATTTTGAATTTACTTGCCCACTGGACAAGTGGATTTCAATTGCAACTTTCAAACAATACTCTATTATTATCATTAGCAACAAATCAGTCAGCTACAGTAATTCCCTTGATAAACTGAACAAATGCAATTCAGAAACCTCAGTTGCCTTAAAAACAATGTCTTTAATTACTATAGTTATTCAGAATTTGTAACATAATACTAAGTAGAAGTTACAGTCTGATGGTAATGAAACACATTTAATTTTCCAGAAAAAATGTCTGTATATGGCAAGTTGAACATGAAGCGCTTATTGTAATCGACAGAGGCCACCCGGGGGCAGGAAGACCTGAACTGCAAGCTTGCCTTAATCAGCTGAAGAGGTACGTAACAATGCAAGGTCTCAACAACGTCCTTACCTAATGATTAACCATACAGGTGACACCTTATACTACCAACTACCAAAAAAATCACCTACATAACAACCAGTTACATTCAAACTAAACACCACGTGAAGTTTCATTACTTCATTTTAGTTAGAACCTGTCACAAGAAGGCTTAGAACACTCCTATTTAGGCGAGCGAAGCAAGCCTCGCCTCGATTTTTGTAACCATTGTTTCTCCAGAATAACGACGGTTCGTGTTATTCATCTTTGTCTTTTTTTGTAGGAACAAAATGCTGGGAAAGGGAAATGATACATGTCCAGTTGAAAGTTGTATCAGATTTCACCCGAGATGTCCACATGAGAAAGCTTGACAGGGATGGAAGGAACTAATAACTTTCCGACTTCTGGTAAGTTCAACCCATAAGCCCCAATAAGCGTTACGCCAAGTAAAAGGAATTTTAGGATCACACGAGGCAAGAGAAAGTGTTTTGACCTCGGCATGATTCGCACCCACGGACGATCTCCAAGTTGGATCTGCTGTTGCTCTAGACTAGTGATTGTGCCGTGAACCCCGCGTGGAGAAAGTCGTGGGTAATTTGTCTGGCAGATCGCGTAGAGGGTAGAATGTATAATAAAGTAAACGTACATACGTAATACTGACCTTTGTATTATCTGCCACGTACATTGTTAGTACTGTGTAGCAAATGATGCAACAGACAGTTATCTCCTGAGTGAAAAATCATCGACTGCTACAAAAAATCCTTTAAACCCCCGATTAGCGTTTATTTTAATAAAAAAAACACCACTTCATGTGCAAAGTGTATTTCAACTTTTCGTTATTATTTCAGAGTTCCTGTCGCTGCCAAACTGCGGGAATTGATATCAAAGCCTCTGTTCCTGGAAGTTCTTAGCAGGAATTTCACTCTCGGCATCAACAAGTGACTGAGTGCTTTGATTCTTCAGCTTCCTAGATTTCTGGCCTTTTTATCTTTAATCTCTTCCTATTATAGAGAAGATCAAGGTTACCCCAATCTAAAATTATCAACGCGGACAAGAGAAGGAGGTCCACATTACTCCGATCTAAAATTATCAAAGCGGACAACTAGCTGACAACTGGAATCCTGGTTTGCTTGGGAACTGATTTTTTGTGGAAATTCGACGGGGTGTATAGGCGTTGAGACGCATTTTGCGTAAACCGCTGACACTCAAACCGAATTTACACAAGAAGTCAGGGAACAGAGAAACGTAGGGATACCAATGCAAAATTATTAACGTGGACAACGGGAATCCTGGTTTGTTTGGGAACTGATTTGTTGTGGAAATTCGACGGGGTGTATAGGCGTTGAGACGCATTTTGTGTAAACCGCTGACACTCAATTGATCCGAATTTACACAAGAAATCAGGGAACAGAGAAACGTAGGGATACCAATCCAAAATTATTAACGTGGACAACGGGAATCCTGGTTTGTTTGGGAACTGATTTTTTGTGGAAATTCGACGGGGTGTATAGGCGTTGAGACGCATTTTGTGTAAACCGCTGACACTCAATTGATCCGAATTTACACAAGAAATCAGGGAACAGAGAAACGTAGGGATACCAATCCAAAATTATTAACGTGGACAACGGGAATCCTGGTTTGTTTGGGAACTGATTTTTTGTGGAAATTCAACGGGGTGTATAGGCGTTGAGACGCATTTTGCGTAAACCGCTGACATTCAATTGATCCGAATTTACACAAGAAATCAGGGAACAGAGAAACGTAGGGATACCAATGCAAAATTATTAACGTGGACAATGGGAATCCTGGTTTGTTTGGGAAATAGGGATAGGGATACCACTCCAATTTTGGTACTTTTCAAATTGGAAACTCATACTGCAGATATAATAACCATAAGATACCCCTCCCATTGAGATTCTTTTGAAAGCAAAAACGTATTCTAACTTTCTAGTTTCTTTTTATTTCTACAGTTGATGGTTGAGCACATGTTATTCTAAGATTTCTAACCTTTTTCCTTCATCGTCAATAGTGTTGTTGTTTTAGATCGGCCACAACACTGGGCTTTGTAGGCTTTGACTTTTATTCAGTCTTTCCAGGTCAAAGCGAAGATGTGCATAATTGGAGCTAAAATTATTAGGGGGAGATTTGGAATCCTGAATGCTGACTGACCACAGACGTCTGCTTTTGGTTGAACAGTTGTATCTTCGAGTTTTATAGTTTGGCTGGTATGAGTACATTACGTAATGAATTTCTTTTTTAGAAAGGTCTTTTATAATATATACTATCACGATTCCCCTTAGCAACGGCTTGCTTTTTATAATAGGCCATTTATGATAAGATGTTTTTTTGGACGTTCTTTCGTGTTCGTTGACTTTCAACAGATTTTTATCCATCATTTTATCTGAATAACTGGGCTCGAAATATTTTTGTATTACTCTTAAACTGAAGCTTATGCCATTTCTGGTTCATGATGATGTACCTTTTATCGAACTGTTATTAGCATTGAAGATTTGACTTTGTTAACGGTGCATTTTTTTGAAGTGTGCTTGCTATTTTTTTTTTTTTGTTTAGAGAAAGGGTCAATTATATCAGATAAGTGGTGTATTTTATTAACCGATCTTCAACACAAACTAATAAATCCTGTTGAAAATCTCAGCCTCAGATTTCAGTAGCGATATTTTATGAAATATATTCTGGTAAAAAGGAAAGAGTGTAGTCGTAACGCCTCAACCTTAAATTATTTTTAGCTTTTAAAGAAATTGTAAAGAAATGT